TATTTTCATTTATCATCTAATTAATTTTGTTTGATCTAATACTAATTTTTTTTATTTTTGCAAATTATTAAGCTTAAAATCATTTTATAAGGTAAATTCACATTTTGATTTTTTTTTATTTTCTTTTACTTGAATAAAATCTTATAATATATAACAATACTTTTTCTTTTTCTTTTTACAGTTTTTTTATTTCATTATAGGTAAATCACTTGTCATTTACCTTGTTTTTTCATTAGTTCTCATAATATTTGAATATAGTTCTTGCTTTTCAATTATTCTCAAAATTATTTTATATATATTGTTGTTACACTTGATTGATTTTATCATTAAATTTTGTTTAATGACTTTATAATTTAATTTATAACTACAAAATTAAAAATTTAATTTTATATTTTTCTAATTCTAAATTTTTTTATTGCTTAAGCAAATATAATCAACAATTTTTTCTATTAATTATACTAGTATAATCGACATAAAACATTTTTGTCAATTATACTTATTTTTTACTCTTATTTATTCAACAAAGTTGGCTATCGATTATGTTTATCAATTATACTTATAATCGACAAAATTTTCTTTATAGTCGACAAAATTTCTGTTTATCAATCCTTGTTTTCTGATAGTGTAGAAAGATCAAAGACTTACATCTGCGTGGATATTGACTTTGGTAACATCCAAAAACAGGGCATCTCTTCACTTCACTGCTCAGCTTAAGAAATTTGCTTCAAACATTGTAAGAAATCCTACAGAATCACAAGGTTATAAAAGCAATTAATTATATTAACATACACGACATGATCCCAAAATTGATTATGGGTTACGGTGTAAGTGATATTAAAGGAAATAAGAGATCAACAGCCAAAGAGCAGCAATATGAAATAAGTTAGTTAAAGGTGAATTTGAGCTAAGGAAACTTACTCGTGTAGGCCAGATTATTCATCTTCGGTTTCGTACTAGTCTGCCAATCGGTCAAAAATTGAAGGTATATCAAATTCTGTTGAAGAATTTTCAAAATATTTTTAAGATTTGGGTTCGAATCACAAAAAGTTGATTCGAAGCAATTGCGCAGAATGCATTTAAGAAAGTGTAACTTTGGTTCGAATCATAATTATATGATTTGAATCATTTACGTAAAACCAAAATCCGAAAAGTTATGATTTTGGTTCAAACCGCATTTTTCTTATTCGAACCATTAACGTCAGAATAAGAGATAAAATTCAAATAAGTTTCTGAAGAGAGTGAATAACTTTGGAAGGCAAGGAAACACGGCATTTGGAGTTCAAATCAAACCAAATGACTTTTGGAAAAGTTTCCAACGGATAAATTTCATGATAACTCAGTTATTATCCGTAAATAAACTGATAATAATTGAAAAGGAGCATCTGTTCACAACAGACATCTTGCCCCTATAAATATGAAGTTATCTCTTCTTCTTCTTTGTCTCTTGAACCCAGAAACAAATCCCTACTATTATCTAAAT